CTTGGTTTTAATCCTAGCTCCTTTGACTTTTGGAATATCATATTCCAACCCCTCCAATCCCTTAATGTAGAAGCTGCTAAATCTTGTGTTATCCTGATTGTGTTTCCACAAACTTGAACTGTTTCTTTCTGGCTGCTTGCAATATTTTCTCCTTGACCTGGGAACTCTGGAATTTGGCTATCATATTCCTAGGAGTTTTCCTTTGGGGATCTCTTTCAGGAGGTGATCAGTTGACTCTTTCAATTGTTATTTTACTCTCTGGTTTTAGAATATCAGAGCAGTTTTCCTTGATAATTTCTTGAAAGATGATGTCTAGGCTCTTTTTTGATCATGGCTTTCAGGTAATTTTTAAATTATCTTTCCTGGATCTATTTTCCAGGTCAGTTGTTTTTCTAATGAGATATTTCACATTATCTTCTATTTTTTTATTCTTTTGTTTTTTTTTTATAATTTCTTGATTTCTCAAAGACTCATTAGCTTCCATTTGCTCCATTCTAATTTTTAAGGAATTATTTTCTTCAGTGAGCTTTTGGACTTCCTTTTCCATTTGACCAACTCTGCTTTATAAGGCATTCTTCTCCTCATTGGTTCTTTTGCCATTTGGGTTAGGCTATTTTTTAAGGTGCTATTTTCTTCAGTATTTTTTTGGGTCTCTTTTAGCAAGCTGTTGACTTGTTTTTCATGATTTTCTTGCATTACTCTCAGTTTTTCCTCTACTTCTCTTACCTGCTTCTCAAACTCCTTTTTGAGCTCTTCCATGGCCTGAGACCAATTCGTATTTTTCTTGGAGGCTTTGAATGTAGGAGTTTTAACTTTGTTGTCTTCTTCTGTTTTGATTTTCTTTGTCACCAAAATAAAATTGTATAGTTTGAGATTTTACACTGTTTGCTCATGTTCCCAGCCAATTACTTAAGTTTTAAACTCTTCATTAATTTAGGGCTCTGCTTCCAGTGTGAAGGATGTACTGTCCCAAGCTTCAGGGGTTTTGTGTAGCTGTTTTCAGAGGTATTTCTAGGGACCTGTAAATTTTCAGTTCTTCCAAGGTGGTATGATCAAAGGAGAGGTGTTTACTCCTTTCCTGGCCTGTGCTCTGGTCTATGAGTGACCCCAACCACTCTTTTCTGCCTTTGAACTGTGAGGAGGATTCCCTCTCCAGTGCCACCATAAGCTCCAACATGCCAGTGCTCTTCCTTGCCCCAGGTCCACCACCCAGGACTGTGACCCAGATCCAAGCATAAGCAAAGCTAGAGAATCTAGCCTCAGCACCAGCAAAGAGATTCCTGCAATCTCCCTCTTATCAGCCTCTTGATACCCTTTGCCGTCTATGGACCGAGAGCTCCAGAAGCAGTTGCTGCCGCTGTGGCTGCTGCCCCAGGGTTGTGGTAGGACCAGAGGTGGACCATGCTCCTCTCACCCAGGTTAGACAGACCTTTCCCATTGACCTTCTGAGTTGTCTTTAGCGTTTGTGTGTTGAGAAGTCTGGAAATTGCCAACAGCTGCCTATGAGTCTGTCCCTGAGGCTTGCTCCAGGTTTGCCGTGCCCCCATCTTTGCTGGAATGGCCCATGCTGAACTGTGCTTCTCTCCCAGTCTGGTGCAACAGACCTTTCCTGTTGACCTTGCAGGTTGTCTTGGGCTCTAAATTTGTTTCACTCTGTCTTTTTGTGGGTTCTGCTACTCTAGAATTTGTTTAGAGTCATTTTTTTACAGGTATTACAGGAGGGGTTTGGGAGAGAGCTCAAACTTTTACTCCGCCATCCAATGATAACATTCTTAAGAGTTGCAGATAACATTTTCCCCTATAAGAAGTAAAGATTTTGACTTATTGTCCTTTATAATTGGTCTTTAATATTTACCTTCTTATGCTTCTCCTGAGTTTAGTATGCCAAATTTCATTCAGTTCTGGTCTTTTCTTCACAAATACCTGAAAGTCCTCTAGTTCATTAAATTTCCATTTTTTTTTTCCATTCAGGATAACACACAACTTGCTGAGTAAGTTATTTTTGTTTCCAAGTCCAGCTCCTTTGCTCTGCAGAATACATTGTTCCATGCCCTTCAGTCTTTTCATGTAGAAGCTGCTAAATCTTGTGTTATCCTGACTAAAACTCCACAGTATTTATATTGGTTTTTTTCCAGTTGTTTTCCTGAGATGTTTCAAATTCTTTTCTACTTTTTATTCTTTTGATTTCGTTTTATTATTTCTTGGTGTCTTATGAAGCCATTCACTTCCCCTTCCTCAATTCTAGCTTTTAAGGAGTTATTTTCTACTGTTAGTTTTTAGACTTCTTTTTCCAATTGTTTGACTTTCTTTTCATGATTTTCTTGCATTACTCTTATTTTTTTCTCTAATTTTTCTTCAACTTCTCTTCTTTGATTTTTAAAGTCCTTTTAAACTGTTCCAAAAACTCTTTTTGGGCTTATGATCATTTTGGTTTTTTTTTCTTTCTTTTAGATAGAAATAGCTGTTTTAACTTCACTATCTTCTTTTAAATTTGAACCCAGACCTTCTCTAACACCATAGTAGTTATCTGTGATTAGGTTCTTTCTCTTTTGCTTACTCATTCTTTTTATTTTATTTTATTTTATTTTATTTTTAGCAGCCTGTTTCTTGCCTGTTGACTTTGTGTTAAAGTTGGGTTCTAGTCCCAGGGTATGGGGGATTTTTTTTGTGTGCTGGTTTTTTTGTCCTGTTGTTTTCTGAGCTCTATCAGGGCCTGACTTCAGGTATTCCTCTTTGCCCCTGAGCCACGATGAAGCCCCCAACAATGCTATCACCATAAATGTTCTTGCTCCCTGTTTCTACATCTGGCAGCTGTAAGCTTCAACTCACACCTCTTCCCTGGAACTAAAACCAGGGATTCTGCTCTCTTGCAAGTGCCCACAGCCAGCTGGGTCCCTGACCTCTGCAATCACACTTACCCTGTGTGTGCTCACAACCACAACTACAACCACAACCACAGCCTGGGACATATCAGGTCAGTGTACCTGGGTCTAGCACTGGCAGAGGACCCTGAAATCTTCACCTGATCAGCTGTCTGACCCCCAGCCTATCTGGGATGTAAAAGTTTCTGAAGCTGAGGCTGACAACCCCACCTGTCCCCAGAGCTTGTTGTTTGTTGATTTGGCAGTGTCTGCCTAGAGGTGTTTGCATTTCAATCAGGTCAAACCCCCACACTGATATCCCCCCAAATTGTCTTAGGCAAACAACTGCTTTACCCCACTTTTAGTTATTTCTTGCCACGCAAAGTTCATTTTGAGGAGTCATTTTATATTGTTTGTGGGGGAATTTCCTGCCTTATTCCACCTTCTTTCTCACTTTTTTTTTAAAGAAATAACTTTGAGTGCTTGTATTTAATACAGGAAAATTTAAGAGAAAAAGAAGATATCAGTTCAGACTTCCCTAGGTAGCCCTTTTTTATTACTGCCTTTTGCTTTTCTATCATATTCATTTCCACATATGCCCCCAATCCCTGATCCACTGAACTTCCCTTATAATTAAAAAAACAATTAAAACACCAAAAATAATTCAGCAAAATCACACTCCTTCCACACCTATGGTCTCCCATTTCTCTAAAGAAAAGAGAGAGGTCATAGGATTATGGAACTAAATCTGGAAATGACCTCAAAAGCTATCTAGTTTAACCCCCTCATAATAAAGATAGGGAAACTGAGGTCATCAATTGGCCCTAAATCACCCCTGTAAGCATCAGGGATGAGATTTGAATCAAGGTCCTCTGATGCCACAGCCCAGAGAGAGGAACTGAACCCTTCACTTTTGTTTCCAGAGACAGGATGCTTTCCACCTTTTAGGGCTAAGCTTTGTTATTATAATTAAACACCATTCAATTTAGCTATATTGTTCTTTCTAAGCTTTTTTTTTTAAAGAGATATGAGTCATTTTCCTAAAAGCCCTTCTAAATTCTAAGGATTTAAGCAAAGCTACTAGGAGTTAAGGGCTGAATTAATGTTTCCTGTAGCTCTGTAGCTTTAAGTCAAATTTGTAAAGCAAAATTTTTATTTTTTATGTGTTGACTGCACCCTTTATACCTCAGAGTTCCTTGTATAATCAATGTGGGTAGTAAGCATAATGATGATGTTAACAACAACTAGCAGTTGTATAATGCTTTAAGGCTTGCAATTTCTCATTTTTTAATCTTCACAACAACCTTGGAAGGTAGGTGCTATTATTATCCCCATTTTACAAATGAGGAAACTGAGACAGAATTAATTGACTTTCCCAGGGTAACACAGCTATTAAATATTTGAGGTCAGGTTTGAACTTGGGTCTTTCTGACTCCACATCCAGTGCTAGGTACCACCTAGCTGCCTAATTAAGTTCCTTTTATAGGACTTCGGGTATATTTTTACTATTTTAAATGAGTGTACTAATTTATGGCTGTATCCTTACTTTGAAAGATTTATTGACTTACATGATTTATTCCTGATGTTTAATTTCCCAATTATAACTGACATTTCCATAACTGTTCCTACTAGAAAGTACAATCTGTTCTATGATGAACTGTTTTATAACAATCTCCAGGAATGTATTATAACACCCTCCCCCCCCAAAGTAAGGACTATCTACAGCATATTCTGTCTTTTTAATATGCTTAGATTGAAAACTAGCAGTATGGGAGAAAAAACAGTACAAAGAAATTACACAATTAATCTGTGATTTGGTCATTATGGGGAAACTCCTGGTATGAGGGTTTGTTTCACTTGCACAATTCACAACCCTTCTATGACCTAGAAAATGTCTTAGAGAGTTGTCTGAAATCCATTGAGGCAAAATGACTTGGCCGTTAAGGGTCACAAAACTAGGGTCAAAAGCAGGATTTAAACCTCAGTCTTCCTAACTTCAAACCTAGGTAGCTACCAACCACTTCAAACCATTACGCCATCCTGCTTCTAAAAACAAAAAAAGAAGAAAAACACTCTGGAAATGTGCTAATGACATTATTTGTCTCCTTATATAGCATGTAACAAAATAAAGATACATACTCATTATTCCCAAAGTAAGTAACAAAATCCTCCAGTCCATGGGTAAAGTTAATAGTCATTGTTAGGTTGGAGCAATCTTCCCTGATGGTGATGGAAGAAGGTAGTGATGTGATTTCACAATTGGATACTTTGACAAAGCCATAATCCTACATTGGGATAAGAAGAAATATTACATTTTGTTCAGTGCCAATATGAAAAAAGTAAATACTTTTCAAAGTGATAGATTAAACTGGAAATATTCCATTAGAGGGAATTAAGAACAATAAGGTGGTAAAGGAATTATTTAGCATGTAGATTAGCTTTTTGCTTGCAAGCTTATAACATTAATGTTGCTATTAAGCAGGTCCCTCTGTGTTCCTACTTACTGTAAGAGCTATCAACCCTGTTTTAACAAGTACTATGGAGACTCCTCAAAAGGCAACATTTATAATGCACAAAATCCATCTAATTTGCATTACTGGTTTAACAACAGATTTGCATAAACAATTTTAATGTAAACCTGTACACTTTGGGGGTGTTAAAAATGGAAGTAGCTTTCCCTTATAAAATGACAGAGAACATATATTGCAGGGATAAAATATAATGTAGCACAATAACTGGGCTGATATCATTTCAGTCTTTCAAATTACATTGCCCTTCCCTGCACAGAAGGCAATCACTGAAATGAAAATCAGGTTTCCCTTGTTTGCTTATACACATACATGAATACACACTAACACAAAACGACTATAGAAACAAGATTTTTTTTTTAAACAGTCTTTCCTTGCCACCTAAAATAATTCACTGCTTTCTCACTGTCTGCACATGGCCCCCAAACCCTCTCTCAGAAACAGATATGCACTTAAGCTACTTATCGTTTCCATAATGCAAATGGATATTCATTTTAAGGGCCCTGGAATTTCTGGTTTCCTTCAAGACTCAGCTCAGGAGACACTTTCTACAGGAGGTTTTTGCCTCTTCCCACCCCCCAGCAGCCAGTGTCTACCCTGTGTCTATTTTGTATGTATCTTGTATACACCCATATGTGTACATGTGATCTCTCCTAATTAGAATGCAAGCTCTTTGAAGTCAGGGGCTGTTTTTACTTTTTCTTAAAAAATAATAACTATAACAATAACATTTATACAGCACGTACTATATAGGCCAGATACTGTGTTAAGCACGTTACAAATATTTATCTCCGTTCACCCTTGCAACAACCATGGAAGGGGGGTGTCATTATTATCTCCATTTTACAGTTGAGGAAACTATCTCTAACATTTTGCATAGAATCTGGCGTGTAGTAAGCACTTAATAAATGCTTAATGATTGATTAGTAAGACAAATTCTTATTTACATACCTGAACCTGCCACTCAAGGGACTCTTTGAGAACTATCAGTTAATCAATCAACAGGCATTTTTAATTGCCCGCTCTGTGTCAAGGATCCTGTGCTAATTGCCAGGGATACAAAGACTCAAGTCACTGTCATTACTTTACCCAATTCAGGTTAGATTATGTTTACTTTGAGTCAATTCATTATTAATCTACTAAGTGCCTACTATGCTGAAGGCACTGGAAATATAATAATAGTAAAAATAATAATAACAATAACAAGAAATAGCTTTTACACAGGACTTTAAGGTTTGCAAAGAATGATACAAATATTATCTCTTTTTTTTTAATCATTACAACAACCTGGGAGGTAGAGATAAGCATTTTTATAGTACCTATGAGGTGCCACATACCATGCTAAGTGATTTTTATCAATATTTTCTCATTTGATCCTCACAACAATCCTGAGGTGTAGGTGCTGTTATCATCTTCATTTTGCAGCTGAGGAAACTGAGACAGACAAAGGTTAAGTGACTTGCCCAAGTTACACAGCTAATAAGTGTTTGAGGCTGGATTTGAATTCGGGTCTTCCTGCCCCTTCTAGCCCCCAGTGGAGGTTCTAGCAAGAAGTGAAATGGCCAAAAGAAAAAGTATAAATTGAAGTGACCCAGATAATATACCAGTTGGATAATCAGTCTCTCTCTCTCTCTCTCTGTATCTACTCTGAAGTTGGTTATAACTCCATTCCTGTAGGAACAGCTTTACTATACAGCTTTTCTTTCTAAAACTTATTTTACTAAAAATTAAACTTTTAATTTGACAAGGAGACTTTGTGGAGGATGGATGTTAGTAGCAACTTTGTAGGCTATTCTTTGGTTATCATATCGTCTAACTTTTCTAAGCAAAACCCAAACCAAATTCATATAGTCCGGTTCCCACAGGATTTGCTGAACATGCAGAGGTATAATTAAAAATGGCTCCAGTTTCATTAAAGGGATCCCCAGGATCCCACTTGAAATAACCATAGCCATAAGCAGTTTCTTCAGGGAAGCAGGCAACAAACTCAATTACAGCTTGATTAGAAAGTTCTTTGACTAAAGCTAAGAACAGGATATTTATGCAAACACATTTTAAAACATTCATCTGTAGAATAACATTTTCATAATTAAAGTGTGATGCATTTCTATTCACATGAAAGTCACTAACGATCAATAGCTAAGGGCAAAGTCAAACTCTCTCCTTTTAGAATATTTTTTAATGACGTAAAAAGAGATCAAGAGCTAAGTGGTCCAAATGAACTCTTTGGTCCAGACCAAATACTAGAACAAGCATGAGAAAGGATGCTCAAACATTCAACAAACTCCCAAAAGTACATTTGTTACATCAATGTGAGAGCTGTAATAGCAACATTATAATGTGTACATCATTCAACTTAACATCAATTCCAACATTAATTAAGTGACTGCTCTGTGCCAGGCACCATGCTAGACACTAGGGATGCAAAGACAAAGATGAAAAATCCCTTCACTTAAGGAACTTCTATTTGAGGTGACACAATGTGTACATAGCTACAAGATAATGTGGAAGGAGAGAACACTAATGACCTTGTTTATCCAGAAAGGCTTCCCATAAGCAGGAGGTGGCAATTGAGTTGAGTCTTGAAAAAAGTCAAGGATTTTGAGAACTGACAATAAGAATAATGTGCACTCCAGACAGGAAGTGAGAGGGGGATATGAGAGGAGGGGGGAGTTGGGAAACAACCTGTGCAAAGTCAAGGGGGCAAGAGATGGAATGCTGAGTTTGGAGAACAGCCAATAGTCTAGTTTGGCTGGACTGGAAATTGTATAGCTGGTATTCTATAAAATAAGTCTGGAAAGGTAAGTGGGTCTCAGATTATAGAGGTCTTTAAATACTAGGCTTTTTCCTAGAAGTAATTGGGAGCCACTGAAAATTCTTGAGCAGGGGAATAATAATAGCTAACATTTGTACAGCACTTTCCTTTTTTTTTTTTTTTTAAAAAAAGTTAAGTGACTTGCCCAAGGTTACACAGCTAGCACGTGTCAAGTGTTTGGTCTGAGGCTAGATTTGAACTCAGGTCCTCCTGACTTCAGGGCCAGTGCTCTATCCACTGTGCCACCTAACTGCCCCATTTGTATAGCACTTTAAAGCTTTGCAGTGTACTTTACACTTGTTATTATTGCACTTCATCCTCACAACAATTCATGGAGGGAGGTGCTATTATTATCGTTTTAGAGATAGGAAAGCGGCTGAGAAAGGTTAAGTGATTTGCTCAGGGTCACACAGGGTCACACACATCTGAAATAGGATTTAAACTCACCTTCCTGACTCTGAGCCCAACACTGTACTACTTAGCTGCTTATGATATGGTAAGACTGAGCTATTGTAAGATTATTTGGGCAATTGGTATGGAGGATGGTTTAGAGAAGGGAGACTTAGAAACAGGTAGACAAATTGGTAAACTCTTAAAGTAGTCCAGACAAGAGGTGATAAGAGACTTGACTAAGGTAGTTGCTGTGTGAGTGAAGAGAAGGGAAAGGATGTTATGAAGGAAGAATCATAATGTTATCTAGCCATTAACAATTCCTTGTTCCCCAAGAAGTGTGTTGGAGCCAAGCTCATGGTAGGAAAGTGGAATGAAGTGATCTAGAGTTTCTATCCCACTTTCATGCATCCCCTTTTCCTAATGCTAAAGGAAATGCCTCTACCATTTCCCCTTAATTATTCCCTTTCCTAAGGGACACTCACCCCCCAAGTGTGATCTCTTGTGCTTGGACCAAAATCTGTATAAAAGCCCAGCTTCATCTGCACCTGACGGAGAAGAAAATGAGGGTGATTAACTAAATTAATATGAAACCAAATGAAACCAAATTAACACAGCAATTTCTAACTTTTAAAACCTTGCTTCAAAATCAAGGAACAAAATAGTTTCCTGATGAGTTAATAAAATGAAGTTACAGAAACCTAAGCTTTGTATGAGACTTTCTTGCTTAGAGATCAAACTATAGACACATCTTAAGTTGCAAAATAAAAAGATCAAAATTCTCTTTACCCAAAATTCAAAGGACATACATTCAAAGGACCTATTGGGCCACAGGTGAAAGAGACCAAAGGATGAGGAAGGCTATGTCTAGACAGCTGAAAAGTAGACAATAGCAGAGGTGGGCCAGTCTACAGCCCAGTCCTAGTAGGAGTTATGATACCAGCCAAGATAAGATCGTAATGGTTACTACAAGCAACATAAGGACAGGAGGTTAAAAAAAAAACCAACTATGATTGATGGGAGGGATCAAAGCCATGAAGAAATCAGGCATGCTCAGACCACCATCTAAAAGCCACAAATATGTCCAGTGTTCAGGTCTAACTAATGGAGAGGTTTGCTTTAATTAGTTTTACCATGGCACTAAAACTTTGAAAATAGATTTATCTAAAAGCACTTGAGATTAACTAATAAAATAATCTTAAATTTAAATAAACTCAATGTAAAGGGATTTTTGCTTAGGCAGAAACTCTAAGATATATAAGATTTAAATATAATGCCACTTTCATCTATTGCCACAAAAAGTCATTTCATAATGCAAATTAATGGTGAATTCACTATCAAACCAAATACTGCTTTTTGTTTAGAAAAAATATAAAGGGGCAAATAATAATAGTTTGAATTTATGTACAGAAGCACATTTCTTCTAAAAATGCTTTCACTTATATTACCTGAATAAAGAGAAATACTGCTATGCACCCCTTATGGATTGACAGAGTTAAGTACCAATGAAATTAGTGGCAAAATCACAGCTAACTTCCAAGTGCTCTTTCCATTAAGCCACATGAACTCCTGAACTCCCAAGTGTTCTTTACATTAAGCTACATGGCCTGAATTTGATTGCAAAGTACTTTGAAGGCAAGGTAAAGATGTTCTTGATTTCATTATATCTCAGTGAGATCAAAGTAATACTGTGAGTTTAAATTCTGTTCTTCCATTTCAGACAGCAAGGATGCTATCAAAGTTATGAGACCTAGCCAGATTCCATAGTGAGTAAGGAATCATTGTTAAGAAATTCTAGTTATATAACAATACACTTTCAGAAATATGGGTGGAGATTGCTTCTGTCTCTAAAAAATACTCCACAGGACAGCTTTAGTTGGCCCACATTGCAACAGTTAGGAAGTTAGGAAGCCCTCAGAATCTGAGACTCCCATGTTGCCTTTTTCCTAAACACAGGGTTGTACTGCAAAGCCACAGAGAATGATGAAGGGGACAGATGTGTGGGACAAAGGAAAGCATCCATATGAAAAGGAAGCGCAGGTGGCACAGACCTGAGAGAATGGCAGAGAAGCCTCATGAGACAGTAATTAGGAAGAAGGCAGCATTGGAGGATTGGAGGAGAGGAGCTCCATGGAAAGAGAACAGAGAGATCCAACCTGAATTGTATGACTGCCATGCCCTCCTGAGGGACCGGAGAGCTATGAGAACATAAGAAGATACCAGAGAACACAGCCTAGCTATAGTGTGATGTTTACAGAGCCAAATGGTGAAGAAGATGACCCTAAGGTGGCAGTGTTGCTCCAACATGCCTCCTTGTGAATGGAGGAAGAAAGTCAGGAAGCATATAGCAACAGACCCTAAGCTTCCATACCAGTGCTGTGAATTGAACTAACTGTGCCTTTCTCCAAGGGCACAATTTGAAGAAGAAATTGAATAGCACTCTCCTTAAGGTATAGAAGATGTATGCATGCATACAGAAAATGTTTACTACCTGGTTTAATTTTTTATTTGCTTTCCTCTTCTGTCAGTTAAATACCTTTTGCTTCTTGGATTCAAATCCCTTTTGTACATTGGGCACAGAGATGGTATTGGTGGGGGCTCAGATTGAGGTTTCAGATAGTTGACAAACAAACAATACACCACATTTGGGAATTACAGAGTGGTCCCAGAGTCCTGTGAGTATGCGTGGGGTCCAGTACTACATTTACAATGCAAACATAAATTGTCCTAAGGCCCCTCTTGAAATGTCTACTTGCTCATAAACAATACTGGTTAGCAGGACAAAAATTCCCAGGCAGTAAGATGAATGCTAGACTCTGGTCCTTGCCAGAGAAAAGTAGATGATGGGTATTACACAGGCATAATGATCAGAAACAGCTCTACAACGGACCCCCAAATATAAAAGTAACCAGAGACACCTCAGGATATACAACTGTCACTAGGAATAACAAGTTTATTCATCATTTTTCTTGCTCCATCCCCCTTGAAGCTAACCTGAGAGTTAATCGCCCACAGATTTTAAGAGAGCCGCATGATAGAAAGGAACACCATGGAACACTGAGTCACAGGGAAATGAGACCTTTGAACTTTGAAGAGCATTATGCTTTACTCAATGAGCATTGCTGTCAGGCTCCCTAAGGCGTTTGAGTCCAGCAGAGAATATTCAGAGGGCCTGGAAACAGAAAGGTCCCGCTTCTCATCCTGCCCATACATGTATCTCTATTAAAAATGCCATGACTAGGAATCCCTGCCAATGGCCCAACGTGAAGAGGCTTTGTTCTCTGCTCTCCCCCGAATCGCTATCAAAGATAGAAGGAGCTCACTCTTCCTTCAGCTACACAGCCTAGCAAATCTTTTCCTTCTGTGAATTGACCCTACCCAGAGCAGAAGAACTGTGATTCCTCCTTAACAGACATCAATTCTAATCAAACACACCTGTTTGATCGAGTCAACTAGCCGATTGTTCTAGATAAAGCCAACCTTCATTGTCACGTCCAAATCAGAAAGGCCAGATCAGGGCTGAGAATTCTTTGGTTGGTGCCTGAGGAACACTTTTAATGGCAACTTCTGATTAACAGGAATGGACAATTTCAGTGTAGCATTCTTCTGTCTTCTTTTCTCCACAGTTTCCCATGTACTAAAGTAACAGGACAAGGCCTACAATGCCAAGCATTATTAGCTCCCTATGACATGTGCCCATATTTAATAATAAAAAAACCCCCAGACATTCACTACATAGTCTACTCATGAGAAAAGAAGGAATATTTAGATTCATCGGGCTCTTCTGACATTCAGAGTCAGTCTACAAGGATAAAATTTGTTTTGAAGGTTCATTGGTGGTTGAGACAAGACTCAGTTTATTGATGAAAGGATGAAGATTCTAGCCTGGCCAAATACAGATATGACCATCACATCATAATATTGTTGTGGTAATGGGGCCAAGATTACATCTTCTGATGGATCAGGAGCATAGCCAAAGGCTATTTTTACCTTAGCCTGCCATTTCATGAATATATACCCGCTAATCAACAGAGTAGGAGAACAAGAGAACGTGAGGTTTAGAACAATTTCATCACCATTTTTAGAAAAGCCACTCAAAACTCAATAAGAAATAGGGAAAGGGAAGGGAAGGTAGCATCATTTTTGCAAATGAAGTTAAGCATTATAATCAATCATCCCTACTGCTGGAAAAATAACTCAAATTACATGTCCTAGAAACAGTGAATTAGTCCCTTTTTTAAACTTTCATATATGAAGAAGTTGTCTGCTATTTATTACCAACAATTACTTTTCATTGAAAAGATGACTATAGCGATAACTCATTTGCATGGCACTTAATACTTACCACAATGCTACAAGGGAGGCATAAGTAAGCTCTATTATGCCCATTTTAGAGATGAGGATACTGAGGAGCTCAGAGAGGTTACAGTTACTCGCCCAAGGTCTTGTCTCTATTAGAACCAGGCTTAAAACTCAGGTCTCCTACTCCAGAGCCAGCATGATATCTAACATAGCAAGAAATAGTTAAAAAAAAAAAAGGAAAAAAGAAAGAATTCAAATAACTTTTCTCCAGTTTTTCAGTCTACTTCCCTTGCTTCATGAAGAAAGGGAGTAAGACATACACAAACACACAGATATATACAACTACCCAAAAATCCTTTCTCCCTAATTGAAAATTAGAGCATCACAATGAGAGTTACTAATGGGCAGCAGACAGAAAAAAAAATGACTTGTATAATAGCACACAGCTCTCTGGGTATGGGATATGATACAAGGAATATAGAAATTGCTGACATTTATGGATGTTGTCTTCATTCATTTTTAGCAATTACTGACATTTCAATCCCATGCTTCTACTAAAGCTATAAGAAATAATATAAAATTTGCTAGAGTTTCCCTTTCTCTCCTCCTTCCTTGAGCAGCTATTGACAAAATGATGAAATAGTCAAATTTCAGAGAGCAAAATGGAGAAGAAGACTAGAAAAACCTACAGAATTCATCATCTCTTGAGATAACCGGTCTCTGAAATAATCAACAATTGGCCACAGGGCTCCTTTGATCAGTGAATCCCAAGGTGGTCTTGACAGTTCTGGAGTATAAGGTCAGGAGAACACTATTATTATTATTGTAAGATGGCTTGTTGTTTATGATGCATTTTAAATATGCCAAAGAACATCTTCCAAGACAAAACAACAATATAGGAAAAAAGTTATTTTAGAACACAATGTGCTAGTGTTAGCCTTGTCTGCCAAACACCAGTATTATAATGGAGTTTGTCTGTATTATCACCCCATATTCCCAAAATCAAAGAGAAAACCCAGAGGGAATCTGGACTCTTGGCAATAGCTAGGACTCAGGTCTGACTATAGATAACATAAAAATAAAAACAAAAATAAAGTTGGACCTGAATACCTGTCAGATTCCAGTGAAAATATGCTTTAAAAAAAATTTAAGGGGCAGTTGGGTGGCACAGTGGATGGAGCACTGGCCCTAGAATCAGGAGGATTTGAGTTCAATTCTGGCCTCAGATACTTGACACTTACTAGCTGCGTGACCTTGGGCAAGTCACTTAACCCCAATTGCCTAAAAAAAAAAATTGCTTACCCTTTGCCTAATTCCTTCTCATGAGTTTTCTATCAGTGTCCTAACAATAGCAATCCTATACCAATAAGCATCCATAAAACTGAACAAAAAGGGGTGGGGTGGCAGAAAACTTACGAGACTCAAAGGAACTAACACAAGAAGAAGGGTTGTTTTTAGTCTTGAATTTATTCTACTGGTTAATGATATTTTAGAAAAGAGGTTAAAGAATAATTTTGATGAGGAGGAAGTGCATACATGTTTCAATCCTGTAAAAATCTATGTTGTAGTAATAACATCCAGACCTCTGGAAAACACGGCTTGCCTTGTAACTCTCTAGAGCCAGAAGAAATGAATATTCATGCAAGGAAGTTCTCTCAAGAATATTATTATTAAAACAGAAATGCGGAAGGAAATTACAACATGATTTCCCTTTCATCAATTTAACTTTAGAGAAATTGTTTATGTCACATCCCCATGAAAACATTTTATTGGTAGTAGAAAATAAAATGAAAATGTGGCCATCTTGATTGCTAACAAGAGACTTTTTTTTTTCAATACAGATATAGAAAGGGTGAAAAACAAGTGCTGGGTAAATTATACAAATCCAAGCTTACCAAGGCCTCTATCAGGAGACGGGTTTCATTTTAAATTTCTTCAGTTTAAGTTATTCCAAATTCAGAACTCACAACTTATTTTTGTACAAGCTCCCCCCATACTGGCTTTTGTTCATTCAACATACACATACGGAATAGTCTTTGTATCGCCAGAGCCTAGACAGAGCAATGCTGGCCCCATACAGTAGTCACTTAATAAATAATCATTCATTGATTGATCATTCATGTGCAAGTTCTGCCCTGTGCCAAAGCGATTGCAGACAGTAAATAGCCCTCTATGACAATCTGAGGCACTCTTGGAGAGAGCTGAAACTATACAACTCATATACATTTGTATTTCCTGAAATCATATGTTCCAAATATTGGTTACTGTTTGCCATTTACTATCCCAGCAATTAAAACTCTGAGAAATGGATGACTAGGATGTCTCTGGGGCTTTGACATCTACTTTCACCCCTAGTTATGGTGAAGAAGGACCTAAAGTCATGAGGGGAAGAGAATGACCTTCCCTCATCCAACCTGAAGAAGTATACCCACTCCCAAAGGGGTAAAAACAGGTGCTGAGTCCAACTCTCCCTATCTCGGTAAAGGTTTTTCTGACTAACCTTCAAAACATTACTTACTGTATCAAAGGATTTGGTGCCAACAATGGTTAGACTGGCCGGGTGGTTCCAGCTGCAAGGCTCCTGCCCGGTTTTTCCTCATCTCACTTTGGCATTTCTATAACAAACCATAGCATTGTCCCTTATTTCAAATTCTTCCAGATCCAATTTAGTTTACTCTTGTCCCCATCTTTCCACCTTGGCTTCCATCACTGGTACAATCTTATATTTGAGTTACAGAACATCTGCCTGTAAATCCTCTGACTCTAAAGCTCTATGTAAATGCTGTTATTTCAGTCCCTGGCAGCCCAACTCTTCCCACCAGCTGGAAGGCCTTAGCATCACAGTTTCACTAGTTGGGGAAGCTCTTGCATACAAACCAAATCAGGTTAGCCCTACAGCAGAGGTTCCCAAACTTATTTGGCCCATTGCCCCCTTTTAAAAAAAAAATCCTTGGTGCCCTGCTGGAAATCTACTTTCTTTAACCTTTTAATGGTTTTTTTTTTAAATTTGTGCCATTTCAAAAATATCTAATTTTTTTAAAAAAATTATGCATCTTAAATTTAGTAATTTATTTTAAATTTGTGAGTTCTTTCCTGCATTGAAATTTTGATGATGCAATATTGTGTTATGTAATCATATAGTATCATATTATAAACAAGTCATTATATGCACATATTCTTGCCAACGCATACTGGACTTCAGGACAATATGTATAATGTTGAAGACCTGTTGGCAGACTTGATCACTGATTGGTTATAACATGCATTTTGTGTGTTTATTTGGAAAATAATGTAATCACTACAACTTTAACTTTGTTACACAACAGATGAAATATGTACAAACGGTTTTTCAAAATTTTCTTCTCTTCTTTCCTTATGCTTCCCACCAACCCCTTATTTTTATTAAATGCCTCCCAATTGCACCTAAGCTACTACCACCCCCCTGGATTGTTCCAGTGCCCCTCCTGGGGTTCCATATCACCCATGTTAGGAACCTCTGCAAACTATTTCATCCCCTCACCCTGCCATCTACAGGCGTTTCCTCATTTTGCTAGTAAAGCAGGAGATGGGAATCATTTTCCATTCTGTAGACCTTTTCCCCCATACCACTAGCCCAAAGTGATTTCAGTCATAGACTGAGATAGCTGGAGAGAGGGAGGAGGGAAGTAGTAGGTTATAGGGGAGGACCTAAGTACAAAAGGTTATGGTCTTCTGAGGTCAGAAAAGAAATAGAGGCATCAGTGTTTATTTGTAAGTTCCTTATTTTCTCATTAATTCCATGTGGAAGCTTTCTGATATTGCTGGAACCCAAGATCTCTTCCTAGACCATTGTCCAACTCTTACCCCTTCTCTGTGGGTATCTATCCTGGAACCTCTTCTCTGGCTTGAAGAACTCATCAGCTTCTACCTGCTCAAAAATCAGCTCTGAGATGACTCCCAAATTTAGACACCCAGCCCTAGTTTCTCTCTTGGACTCAAGTCACGTATAACCAACTGCTCCCAAGGATGACTCCTCCTGAATGACTCCTAAGCATCTCAAGTTTGACCAAAATAGAATTCGTCGTCTCCCTCTCCCTCACTAAACCCAATATTTTTCCAAATTTCTTTATTTCTGTTAAGGCTAGCACTACCCTCCAAGTCACCCAGATTTGTAACTTCAGGGTCCTTGACTCTTCCTTCTCTCTTATTCACCACATGCAAAACTTTGCCACCTCTATATCCCTTGCATCAGTCCCCTTCTCTCTCTTTACTCACATAGCTAGATGTGACCTAGATCAGACCTTTATTATCTCTCACCTGGACTGCTCTACTATTTTCCTAACAGGTCTCCCTGCCTCCAATCTCTCCTCCCCAATTCAATCTGAAGCTGCCAAAATGATCTTCCTGAAGCACAAATCTGACCATTTCCTTTGATCAGCAACCTTCAGGGTTCCCCGCCTAATGATACTTGTTTCCTAATCTGGTTTTCAACTCCAGTCTTGTTTTATTTTTTTATGTTAAAATATATTTTTATTTTGTTAAATATTTCTCAATTACATATACAAAGTTTTAAGATTAATTTTTAAAAATTCTGAGTTCCATATTCTTTCTCCCCTTTCTTTTCCTTTCCTGGAGAAGGCAAACAATTTGATATTGAATATACATGTGAAGTCATGCAAAACATTTTCATATTAGCCACATTGCAAAAGAAAACACGGACCAAAAAACCCAAGAATAATAAAGTAACAAAAAAAATCAGCTTCAATCTGCATTAAACTCTATCAGGTCTTTCTCTGGAAGTGGATAGCATTTTTCATCATAAGTCCTTTGGAATTGTCTTGGATCCGGCCTTATTTTATACTCACCTTAACATATTTCCAGCCCTATTTCATATATCCCTTACAGGGGAGTGTAAACTCCTAGAGGGACAGAATGTTTCCTTTTTGACTTTGAATCTCCAGAATGCAGCACAAGGCCTTGCAAATAGCGGATGCTAAATAAATGTTGAATTGAACACTGAAATGTTTTGAAGTGGAAGCCATTTGCTACCTTACCTCCCTTCTATTGCAGTTACTTAAATCTTCTGTTGTTATTAGACTTTTCACATTTCTGTCTTTTGCCTTTGGCTATATGGATGGCAAAGACCAAGTCTTATATATCTGCTATATACCTGTAGTACCTAACACACAAAGGGTGCTCAATAAATGTTGATTTGATTTCGGTTTGAGTCAGCAGGTTAAATTTATTCTGAATAATAATAAAGAATGAGTAAGTTTAATGTTTGGAGCTCTTGTTCCTCTTCATTCCATGTTTTGGTCCAATTCAATCTTTAGGGAAGAAGGATGAAACTGGAAGTAAGCTAATTAGTCAATCAACCACCATCACCTTTGGGATGCCCAAAATAACTGTATGGAATACTCCTTTATAAAATCCACTTAATTACATTAGGAACAAAGCAAAATGATACTACAAAGTTTCAGGGAATTTTCACTTTTTTCTGAATAGCATTTTAGAATTATTTTTTGTTTGATGAACTGATTCAAGGCTTTTTGGGGGCCCAGCAATCAAATCCAGTCCAATAATTAACACTAATGTCCCTGAGAGAAAATATTTAATACATTTTGACCCACAGTCCTTTTTTATGCCTAATGCAAGTAGTCGAGATTATGGGTGAAATTTCATTTTAATTACCAAGCTTTGAAAATACAAAGTAATTGAACCATATATCTCTCAGTATTTAAGCTAGTCCTTTACTCATAAATTTCACATTCAGGGAGCCATGAGAGAATCACTCAACCAGAACTACAGAAATAATAGGTTTTTCAAAAGTATCTCTACTTTTTGCTAATGAGGAAGGACTGATGTTTCTCTAGAATCTTATGATTTTTCTGGGAGTGCTGGTGCAAGATGCTGATTGAAGGGTGTTGCTGCAGAAAGGAAGAGCAAAGTTATCTATGGGGCAGGGCAGTGGGACAGAAGCTGTTGGGCTGGGAATCCACTAGGTAAAGATGTAAGACCCATAAATGGATTACAGTGGGGTTTCTGGGGACTCCTAATAGATGGAAGTGTTAATGTGTCTCCTTAAATCCCTAACATATGCCAGAGGATGTTTTAGAGACACTTTATAGAAAAACTATAATTTCTGTACAAAAGAGTACTTGAATTCCTAGAATATATGACACCAGTTTGGGAAAGAGGATAAAGGATACTTTAGCTCGTAGTGGTATCATTTAAGTAGTACTATATCAGTACTAATTCAGACTTGGGATCTCCAGGCCCAGGATAGGTCCAAAATAAATTATAATTTCTAACAAGGTATAAAAATCCCAGACCAAGCTCTATGCTTGAATTGGCCCTGGGCTCAAGGACTAACTCAATATAATACTGATGATAAATGCTGATGATAAGGAAGTAGACAGAAGAGGGGAAAGAGAGGAAGGGGGAGGGAAAGAAAGGATGAATGAAAGAGGAAGACAGAAAGGGAGAGGAGGAGAAAAGAGGAGTGAAAGAAAATGGAAAGAGAGAAAGAAAGAGAAGAGAGGGAGGGAAGGAAAGAGAGAGAAAGAAAAGGAAAGGGGAGAAAGAGAGAGAACACAAAAAAAAGAACCTACCATTCATCATATAATTATGTATAGTATATGTACAGTATGTATAGTATAATTATGAACAGAATGAAATATTCATGAGATTTTATTTTCATTATCTTTCTCCACAGGGTGAACCCTTAAGCAAGCTGAAGTAGGAGAAAATCAGAGTATCAGACAAGAGGAAAGAGTGATAGAGGACACACACACAACTGAAAGGAACCAAAAGAAACTTGAAGTGCACCAAAAACCAAGATGTCAGGGAAGAAATGGAGTAAGCAATGAATGTCCCAACATCTCAGGTTATGTGGACAGCTGGAGAAAGTATTTTGTGTCAAATTCTCAAATCTGTTTGAAATAAAAAATAATTCATGAATTGTGTCGGATGAATACACTTAGTAGCTGATGTTACTTTGTCTCTGGACCCTAGTTCGAACATTCATCTTTAAAATAAGGGAGTGGATTAGAGCTAGATGAATTTTGATTCATCTCTAAATCTGTGATCCAAAAATAGTTTAAATTTTTTAAAATATCCATAAGTTCATAACCACGGAAACAGAAAAATGATTATTTGATGACTTAGAAATTTTAAAAATATATATTTAATACTTGGCTGAATATTTAAGGAAAAAGTATAAAACATGCATCTTTCATATATCATTAAAATTTACTAAGTAACTTGACTATGATCATACAATTAGTAAGTATCTGAGGCAGAATTTGAAATTAGAGTCATTCCTAGTACCAAGCTCAACACTAGCTATTACATCACTTGACCTCCATCTGTGTATAATCTCTTACTTCTTTAGACTTATTTGCTAAATCATAGACATGTTGCCATCTGCTGGTAGATGGAGTTTTATACAAGGAAGTCTCCACATTGACAAAGACACAGACCCTTTTCCCTGTTTTCAAGAAATATACTAAATGGGAACTCAAGGCTAAATTCTGTGGGCCACACAAAATCACAATGTGTGAAATAAGAGACAGCTCTTAACCTCAGTAATACAACCATCCCTGAACCTTATCAAGAATAGTTTTCTGATGCTTTCATCAAAGCAATATTGCCATTGATGGATTTTTGTCTTAGGTTTATTTTTTTTCCCTGCAATAAATGGAAAAGAGTTTTAAAAAAATAATTATGGCTGTTCTTTCATTATTTACTATGGATTAACTACTTTTAATAACATCAAATTCACTGGGAAAAATACATATTGATTATATGAAGTAGATCCAAGTAGGTGGTTCAGTGGGTAGAGTGCTGGATCTGGAGTCAAGAAGATCTGAGTTCAAATATGACCTCATAAACTCACTAGCTACGGGACCCTGGGCAAGTCACTTAATCCCTATTTGCCTCGGTTCTTTATCTGTAAAATGAGGACATACTGGAGAAGGAAATGACCAACCACTTTGCCAAGAAAACTCTGTGAATAAATCCATGGGGTCACAAAGAATCAGACACAACTCAACAACAAGATACTAAGAGGTTGTTAGTCATAATAGTAACTTTTGAGACACAATGGACTGAGGATATAGTTAACACAGTAATTTAGTTACTTGATAAGATTTTTCTTAAACTACACTTTGTTCTTTATCATGAAAATTTCCCATTTATTTAAAAGAAAAAGACTATCTTTGTATGCCCAGCACTTAGCACAGTGCCTGGCACATAGTAGGTAATTAATAAATGTTTGTGACTGACTTAAGAAAAGCAAGATGTCAGCCTTTTCAAGTCCACCTACTAAAGGGCTTGTATTTTGGTCATGACCTGAGACATCAGTGAAATGCCACTTGACTGCAGAATTTCACATGTACCATTTACCCAAAAGTACATCACACTTTCTTTAGCCTGGCTATCTCCTGGTACATACTTAAAAACGGTATACCACACACAGGAAAAAAAAAATCAAGAAGACAGAATGTCATGATGGTGGTTATAGCCCTCCCAGTATTCATCTCTGAGCTAATGAGGCGGCCAAGAAGTTGAGGCCACCCGGCAATGGTGCAGACTGCCAAAATGCTCCCACCTATGGCTGCAGCCCATGTGTTCAGGGAGAGGAGGACAGCTGCTGCTGTGCTGGGAACTTGGAGATAGTAGAGAAAACACAACAACTAAAATCACTAATTTTAACTAATTAACTAATTAACTAAAATAATTAATCCTCTTTCCAATTTCTCAAAACAAACTCAGAACACTACAAAGACTTTGTCATGATGAGGATTATAGAATCTAATGTTGGCAAGGACCTGAAAAATCAACTAGTCTCACTCTCAGTTGAGGAAAGAGAAGAAACCCAGGGAAGTTGTGATTTTCCCAAGGCTACACAGCTAATTAATGGTCAAGTTAGAATGAGAACATAGGCATCTAGACTGTCTGAACAGCTGTTTTTCCCACTATGCCTCTGAAATGGGAGACAGTATTGACTTTGGAGTCAGAGGCCTGGGTTCAAAACCCACCCCCGAGGATTATAATCTATGAGACTTCTCACTTCTTCTCACCACCCCGCTACCAGCCGAACTCCAGGTGAGTTTTTTGCCAAAGCTCCCCCCACTCCCTGATCTTCCCAGCAGAAGACTCTTGATGTACCAGTCATTGTGGAGAACTTCTATCAGGAACAATTTATGGGGCACTCATTGTCCTAGGGTCTCCCCAAATGAATTGGTCTATAAGAAAACGATTTGGTGAGTGTCTTGACACAGCTTGAAATCTGATAGTTATAGCTGTGCCATCCAGAGCCCTTGGGTCCACAGCACTCACTCTAATTTGGAACTGCTGATGGGATACTTCCTATTCAGCAGAAAGTACCAAATGAAGATGTTCTTTCTACATGAAAAAGCAGTGTGATTGCTGAATAATTTCATCAACTGTACCATCTAATTTAACACATACTATATTTCACTCTTCATTACCTTTACTCATTCACTCAATGATTCTGCTACAGGCTCTACTTTTGACCCCTCCCAGTGACTGAAAGAAGGGACAACCATTCCTTCCTACTTTAAATATGTGATACATAGAGACAAAAGTGACTTTGCTAACCAATGTTATAAAAATCCTGAGGCTCATGTCAGTAATATCAACCAAAAAATTCCTCTCCCCCCACAATCAAAGGTGACAAACAGTGATTGACCTTCCTTCCCCACTTCTACACATCCCTGTTGTGATTTCTTTCCATTTGATTCTGTTTGAAGGGAAGAGGAAAGAAGACAAGCAATTTTTTTTTAAAAAAAAAAGGAAAAACAAGAAGTCTGGATTCAAGGAAGACTTTTCTCCAAATCCCTACAACTAAAGCCCCTAGTGAGGCCTTCAAATATTTAGCTGCTAAAATGGTGGTTTTTGTTTTTAAGATTGACCCCAGCTTGAGATCAGGTCTTATTATTTTCCAGGCTTCTGCTTGCAACAGGGAAATTTTCCAAAACAAAAAAAAAAGTATCATTTCAAATTTCTCTGGTCAGCTTTTTATAGAGAAATAGGCTATGTCATCCTTATAACACCTTTCTAGTATTAAGGAGGCAAGTGAAAGTATTAGTAATTAAATATTTAATATTTGCTGTAGCCAAAACAATAAGGTTAGAGAAAACACATTTATAACATGATACTTTAATACTTACTAGGTGCTTGACTGTACCATAAAATATAATCTTGATAAGCATTAAAGTATATATACTTTATGTACACTTAACCACCATGTATGATCAATGTGTAATGGTCTATTTAACAGGACTAAGAGCATTACTCTGCTATTTTAAAATATTATACAAATTTATAGATGTCATATGTTTGCTTCTGTAACATTTTGCAACATGGTCACATTTATGTTTTTTTTCAATTCCAGGTCCTTGTTCAGGAAAACAACCCCCAATTTATGGGAAAATGTGATATGCTTTATCCAGCTGGTTTTTGACTGCTGTTTTTAGGAAGCCATCATCATAAAAACAGGCAGCTAAGTGACACAGTGGATAGAGCACGAGGCCTGGAGTCAGGAAGACCTGAGTTCAAATGTGGCCTCAGATACTTACTAGCTACGTGACCCTAGGCAAGTCACTTAACCTTATCTGCCTCAGTTTCTCATCTATAAAATGAGTGGGAGAAGGAAATGGCAAACCACTCCAGTATCTTTGCCAAGAAAACCCCGGACGGGGTTACAAGAAGTTGGACATGACTGAAATGTCCAAACAACAACGTGACAAAAAGTGCAAACTGCCTATATATATTCAGCTCTAAGCTTTAAGTTATTTCGGGTGAGCAGGGACTCCTTTATATTAGACAGTAGAGTTTGTTTCACAAACTGTGTTCTTCAGAACCCTAAGGTAATAAGAAGAAAAAAGAAAACCCATTCATCTACTATGCTGTCCATGTTGTTTCTCAAGTAATGTGTGTATTCAGTCACTGAAGGGATCTATAGAGATTGATGAAATTGATTATGTGACTGAAAAGTTGGCTATTAGTTGGTTTACAACTCATCATTGAAAGCACCAAGTCATGGGGCAGCTAAGTGGCGCAGTGGACAGAGTACTGGCTCTGGATTCAGGAGGACCTAAGTTCAAATCCAGCCTCAGACACATAACACTTACTATCTGTGTGACCTTGGGCAAGTCACTTAACTTCATTACCTAGCCAAAAAAGAAAGTGCCCAGTCACGTAGGATGTTAATTGCTGGTCTGTCTCAGCAAGGTACATGATGTCCTTTTATATCCTTAGCTGTTTTATTGTAACCTTTTAACTAATGCTGATTATAGATAATTGAATAAAATCAGAAAGGTGAGACAGACAAGAAAGCAAACATTTTAGCAACCAGGGATCTCATGATGAAACAAACACCCATGAATCAAGCTTAGGTATCAAATCCTAAACATGTAAATATGCACAGTATCAGCTCTAAGTGCCCCAGGAAATTCTCTGAGACTGGTGGAAGGTTTGCTTATTGCTGAAATCACAGGGTCAAAAAAAAAATTAGGCTTAAAAGGCATTTTTAAAAAGATTTTACTTATAAAAATATGAGCCATTCCCCAATTGATAAATGGTCAAAGACTATGAACAGGCACTTCTCAGACAAAGAAATCAAAGCTATCAATTCAGTTGTTCAGTTGTTTCAGTTGTGTCCGACTCTTTATGACCCCACTTGGGGTTTTCTTGGCAAAGATACTGAAATGATTTGCCATTTCTTTCTATAGCTCATTTGACAGATAAGAAACTGAGAGGCAAACGGGGTTAAGTGACTTGCCCAGGGCCACACAGTTAGTAAGTGTCTGAGGCCAAATTTGAATTCAGGACGATGAGTCTTCCCAGCTTCAGGTCCATTATATCCACTGTGCCATGTAGGTGCCCCAATAGTCATATAAAAATGTTCTAAATCACTAACAATTAGAGAAATGCATGTTAACAACTCTGAGGTATACCTCACACCTACCAGATCAGCTAATATGACAAAAAAGGAAAATGACCAAGATTGGAGGGAATATGGAAAGATTGAGACACAGATGTACTATTGGTAGAGTTGTGAACTCATCCAACCATTCTGGAGAGCAATATGTAACTATACCTAAAAGGCTATCAAACTGGGTATACCCTTTGACCCAGCAATACCAGCAATATCTCAAAAAGATAGAAGAAAGAGGAAAAGGATATATGTGTGCAAAAATATTTACAGTGGCTCTTTTTGCGGCAGCAAAGATTTGGAAATTGAGGAGATGTCCATTAATTAGCAAATGGATGAACAAGTTGTGGTATATGAGTATGATGGAATGCAATAAGAAATAACAAGAAGGAAGCTTTTAGAAAAACCTGGAAAGACTTACATGAACTGATGCAAAGTGAAGTGAACAGAACCAGGAGAACATTGTACACAATGACAGCAATATTGTAAGGATGATCAACTGTGAAGGACTTAACTACTCTGATCAATACTATGATCCATGACAATTCCAAAGGACTCATGATGAAAAATGCTATTTACCTCCAGAGAGAGAACTGATGAACCCTGAGTACATGTTGAAGCATATTTTTTCACTTTATTTTTTTTCCTTTTTTTTCTGTTGCAACCTAGTTAATATGAAAATGTGTTTTGTATGACTTCACACATATGATGGGTTTTACAGAACAAATCCTTTTATTAAGGGGATTTGTTCTGTGAAGTTTAGATTCAGTCAAAGGGCCACACTTCAGGACCTAGAGGGCCACATGTGGCCTCAAGGCAGAAGATTTCCCCACCCCTGCACTAGTCTAATAAAAACAGTCTTTTTTTTTTTCTCAGAAAGAGAAAGGGAAAAAGATAAGAGCTATAAATTTTGTAATGGAGGTGTCTTATTTTCCATTGCTGATGTTTCCATTGCCTACCGTAAGTCTTAAATTTGCTTCTAGACATTTGAAAGTTAGTTTTTAACATTTCAGAGAAGCAGTTAAACTTAGTGTTTAAAACCCAAGACTCCCAAGAAGATCTAAAGAAGTTTCCCTTTCACTGATTTCTCTCTCTCTCTCTCTTTTTTAATGCTATCCCAGGTTGCAGCCATGGAAGATTAACAATATTAGATTCTGAGTTCCTTGGGGGCAGAGACTGGTTTTTGCCTCTTTTTGAATTCCCAGTGCTTAGCACAGTGCCTGGAACGTATCAAATATTTAATAAATGTTTACTGATTTATTGATTGATAAACTCCCAAGGTCACTGACCTGAGTCACCTGAGGAAGAAAGCATCAAATTGGGATTTCACAGCTTTCCAATTACAGAACAAGTCATGTAATATTTGGGGCCACTAGGTGGCACAGTGGATAGAGTGCCAGGCCTGGAGTCAGAAAACTCATCTTCCTGAGTTCAAATCTGGCCTCAGACATAATGACTGTATGACCCTGGGCAAGTCTCTTAACCCTGTTTACCTCAATTTCCTCATTTGTAAAATGAGTTTCGAGAAGGAAATTGCAAACCACTCCAGTATCTTTGCCAAGAAAATCCCAAAAAGGGTCAAGAAGAGTCAGATATGACTGAATCGACTCAATAACAAATAATCTGGTTACTTCCTTACTCATATTTCCACATTTTGAAATTGTCCATCCATCTCCATGGGCCACATAACCCCTCTCCCCACCAGAAATTCCCTTTTCTTCCTCAGAACTCTTATTTCTCTGTATCTGTACCTTTCTTATGCCCTTGAAGATCCACTTGGCATTGCAGTTATTTGTTTAGGCACTCCTCTGCCATGTTCCCCCAATGCTTTGTTGGGGCGTGGAGATAATTCTGAATTTTGGAGGGCTAAGCTAGGAGAGGATGAGGTCTGGTAGGTCCCAGTAAGCCGGAAATATTTCAAAGAACCACAGAAGCAGACTCCATATTTCTTATCCAAGAACCAGCTTTGCTCCGTTCTGAGAGACTTATCACAATAAAATCATAGGGTCTTAAATTTAGAGCTGGAAGGACCTTAAATAGAGGTCATCCAGTCCAACCCCTTTATTTTGCAGATGAGGAAGCTGAGACCCAGAGAGGCCACACATCTAGTAAGTGAGGTAGGATTTGAACACAGGTCTTCCTGACCCCAAGTCATATTCTATCCTCTATGCCGGTGGTATCAAACTCAAATAGAAACAGCTCCCTCAGAGCAGCATATTGACTTAGAAAACCACAAATTAACATTAATTATGTTGTATTATATTTTAATTTATTTTGTTAAACATTTCCCAAGTGCATTTTAATCTGGTTCAGGATGCATTGGGTGTTCTGTGGGCCACAAGTTTGACACCTCTGCTATGCCACCAGAAGGTTGGCCACCAGGTAATGCATTATTTTAGTCTTAGGAACTTACATACTACTAAGGTGTATCAAGATTTTAGTCCGTGTCAGAAAAAGGGTTTTACCTCTACCCATTTACTTAAGGACATTGACTCACTAAGAGTTAGAGAGTGGCTCAGATTCTCATAATCTAGCCAAGAGCTCAGATTCTTAAAACCCAGCCATTGCAATATGGCTGATCTCAAATAAACCTTGTCTTTAGCTGAAGGAAGGCTTGGGTCAAATTCATTCGGGAAGGACCGTGTCCCTTGCTCTCAATATTTTGGGGTCCTAGCACCCCTAAACTCTTAAACCTCAACATTTTGGTGGCCCATACGGGGGAGCTACCTAACTCCAAGTTCTTCTCCACCCAAGACTGGAAGGTATGTAAGCCTCCCCCTCTTCTTTCTTGCCCTGCAGTTAGGGTAACTCTCCAGGCATCTAGCAAAGCTTGGAGGTGCTTTTCGGGCAGACAGTTATAAGGCCTGATGCTCTCAGGCTCTCAGTCCACTGGTTTGGTGCAAGTCCATGAACCTGGGTACAGCTTCCACAGTACCAAGGACAAGGGCAGATGACCTATCCAGTATGCCTAATTCCATCAGTTCTCTCCGTGCTAGATAATTGGGAAAACTGCAGGTGCTTTTTGGTTCCCTGAGGCTTACTTACTGCCTTCCCCCTACACCCCTTAATCCTCCTTCATGGAGGTTACAGGGAAACGTTAGAACAGCTAAAAACATCTTAGCAGATTCTGAAAGTTTTGTGACTGATCATTAAGGAGTTTTGAAACGCCTCCTTACAACCCTGGTCACTCCTTTCTCCCACTCCCTTCCCTTGAGTCAAGACATATTTGTTAACCCCTCTCATAGGACAGGAGAGTTTCACCTTCCCCTGCCCCTACCTCTGAATTCACCTCTATAGCATGGGCCCCATTGGCAATGGCCATGGGCCCTGGGGCAACCTTTGCCTGGAAGCATCATCCGGGTTCAGCACATCCTGCTTAAGGTAAAGAAGCTAGCCTCTGAACTTGGATTACAGACCATTTACCTACTGCTGGTAGCAAACAGTGGGTACCAGCCAATGTCCCCTACAACATCCCCTGAATGCAGCCTGTGCTCGGTTCCAGTGAACATCTTTGGGACCCCCTTGAGGCAGGGACAGCTCTATGCCCCTTGCCAGCAGGAAGCAGTTTCAGAAGCCAAGACCTTTGTCCCTTACCCCAAAAGAATTTGGGTCCCCTTTGTTTGAGGGGGGGAATGATGGGGATGGAATCTGAACCCCTAAAAGGAAAAGATCATGTCTTTGGGATCTGGAACCCCCAAAAGGAAAAACCCTGGACTTTTCTACCTGGCCAAATCTCTGGCTTTCAACCAAGGCTATAATCCTATCAACTGGCCTTTCATTGTGGCTATGTCCAATCTCCCTATACTGTTCTGTTACCTCCCGATAGCCTCTGGCCGCTTCCCACCCTTAATCTTATCTAGACTCCATTCTCCCTGGGCCATTTGGTTCAGGTCCCTGGCATTCTGTTCACCCCAGCTTACTGGCCACTCCCATCCAGATCCTCCTTAGATCTCCCCTCCAGTCTTTCTGTATATAAGGTCCATCTTGTCTCTATTAAGGTGCTCAGATTCTTAAAATCTAGCCACTGCAATATGTCTGATCTCTAATAAACCTTGTCTTTGGCCGAAAAAAAAAAAAGGGAGTTAGAGAGCAATCAAGTGAAAAAGTCAATTAGGAAGGCAGAATAATATAGTGAAAAGAGAGGCGGAGTCAGAAGACTTGGGTTTACATCTCAAATTCACAACTTAATGCCTGTGTGACCCTGGGCAAGTCGCTGTACCTTTAAGAGACATAGTTTCTTTGATGTAAATAAGAGCCTGAATTAATGAACCTCCAGGGTCTCTTCCAGCTGTAGATTTATCATCCTGATTAGACTCTACTGACATTTTGCCTTTCTTTTAAAAATTAATCAAGTTAGTCTAGAACGAGAGTTCTTAACCTAGGGTCAACAGACACTTTAAGTGCCTGTTCAGATTTCAGGAGTTCCATGAAGTTGGAGGGGGGAAAATTGCAACTTTATTTTCATTAACCTTTAACTGAATTTTGGGATTTCCTTCCATTGTTTAAAAACATTGTCTGAGAAGGGGTCCACAGATTTCACCAGACTGCCAAAGAGGTCCACGATGCAGCAAAATGAAGAACTATTGGTGGAGGGGGAAAAGAAGATCTGTATATATTTGAAAGCGAGAGGTGGTTTACAAAATTATGAGAGGTAGTATTTAAATTTAGGATTTCCTTTCCTTTTAAGTTTCATATTTGGGATGTTAGCATTTTTGACTCATAGAGAGAGGGCTAGGCAGTTGGCACAATTCTAGCTCATTACCTATGAATTCTCCCTAGTATGAGAGGCATGACAGCAATTGCAACCCAGAAAAACTCAGTCCAGGAATAAGAAGGAGGGAGAATTGGGAGCACTGAGAATTGTGTAGTGTGTAATTCTTCTCTTCCCCTACCCCAAACAATAAGCAAGAGACTAGGGGTAGCTAGGTTGTGCGGTGGATACAGCACTGGCCCTGAAGTCAAGAGGACCTGAGTTCAAATCTGGCCTCAGACCAAACACTTGACGCTTACTAGCTGTGTGACCCTGGGCAAGTCACTTAACCCCAATTGCCTAAAAAAAAAAATAAGCAAGAGACTACTCCTTAATTTTTAACACTCTGTCCATCCTGGCAAAGACAGTGGGCCTTCTGCTTATAGAAACTTCTATCACAAGCCCCAGGAGCTATACCTATTTCAAAGCAGACACAGACAGACAGACAAACAGAGACAGAGGAGGGAGGAAGAGAGAGAAGCAGGGAAGGAGAGAAGGGAGAAGAGACAGAGAGAGACAGTAGGGGGAGGATAGGGGCTATGTGTGTGGTAGTGGCAAGGGGTGGGGGGAAAGAAGAGGAAAAACCCAAAGAAAATATTTGTGTAGATTTTCTCCTTAAAGTGAGGTGTTTTGGGGTAGAGGGATAAAGGGTGAGGAATATGCAAGAGAGGAAAATAAATACCCAGGCCGATTAGGTGCACACTTACCTGTATAATCATCAAGTGTTGCTATGAAACTTAACATCAATATCACTTTGTTGGCAGTCTGACAGCTCCAGATTGGGTTTAATGAAATGTACTGTATCTGAAGAACAAGAAGAAGCATTTTTCCTAAAATGAATCCTCAGATTCTGAAATACCTAAAAATAAACACAAAAGATGTTGAAAGACTCCATAAGATATGGCTGGGATAGAATCTCCTTCATGCCCTTTCTTGTGAGGTGAGTAGAAAACTGGGGTCTGAATTCAGTTAATAATAATAATAATAACTAACAGTTATATAGTGCTCAGAATGTGCCCAACACTATGCTAAGTGCTTTACAATTATTATCTCATTTGATTCTCACAACAACCCAGACGTAGGTGTTATTATTATCATCGTCCCCAATTTGCAGATGAGGAAACTGAGGCAAACAGCTTAAGTGACTTGCTCAGGGTCACACAGCTAATTTGAGGCTGAATTTGAACTCAGGTCTTCCTGATCCCAGGTTCATCACTCTATACATCACACTACCTAGAAGCAGCCTAAAGATGATGTACAACAATGTTATTTGGTTACTCGGCATTTTCACACAGGCAACTAAGTATTAGTTCCCATTAGAGTTATGTGATAATAATGAAGACGTCCAGAGAAGGAAACAAGCATTTACAAAGTGCCAGGTACTGTGCTAAGGGCTTTACAATTATTCTCTTATTTGACCCTCACAACAACTTTGGGAGGCAGGTGTTATGATTATCCCCATTTTACAGCTGAAGAAATTGAGGCAGGCAGAGATTAAGTGACTTGCTAGAGTTACACAGCTGGTAAGTGTCTGAAGATGGATTTGAAACTCTGTTTCTGGAGCCAGACCTTCTCTTAAATGATACCAAAGGCATGTGACCATGGACAAATCACTTAACTTCCCTGGGACTCAGTTGCCTCACCTGTAAAACGAGGGTTTAGATTAGATGACTTCTGAGGTCTCTTCCAATTCTAGATCTCTGATTCCAATATTAATTACCTTATTTTATAAAAATAATAATGGCATATTTTTGTTTAAGTACCAGGGGTGATAAGGGGAACCCCTGCTTGGGTTTACAGATCCCCCAATCCACTTGGTGTAATTACAGAATGTGGGTCTTTGTTAGCCTGGAATACCTGTGAGGAGCTAGTTGTGAGCTCTAGTCCCTTGCTGAAGGGTGTGCACCTTTCTAGGATGATTAGGGACTGATTTGGGGGTACAGATTGTTGTTGGACGACCCTTCCACCTTCGTGGCCTTTAAGAGTGAGGGACTTTTCTCTCAGGAGACTCCTCTACCTTGAGACCCTTTTCTAGTATTTTCTTTCCCTTGGATTGGGCGGGGAGATTTCTCTTCCCTTTTCCCAAACTACCCAATAGAAATGGTGGCTTATAGTAGGACTGGACCTATAGTCCATGAATGCTGCTTTCTGAATCAGGTAACTGATGCCCCTGGGAAATGAAAGTTTCTAGCCTTAGTGCTTCCTCAGTTTTTGGAATTACAGAAGTCAGGATCCCAGCATAGGAGAAGAAGACCACTACCAGGGTCAGCCAGCACCTGAAGGACTAAAGAATATCATAGCCTGGCTGGCCAGGAGACCTGGACATTGTGAGTTAGTCAAATAGTGCAGGCCCTAGGAAAGTGTGAAATATCTGCTTGGAAGTCACACAAAGATTCTTTACTTTCCAGGGGGCATATAATAAGTGTAACGAACTATTGGAGTGTTTTCTGTTTCTTGTATTTGTTCTTATGCACCTGTGGGTCCTTTGCATCTAATGAAGTTTCTGTGGTGTAAGAAATAAATAGCTGTCCTTTACCTAATACGAGGGGTGAGGAACCTGCGGTCTTGAGGCCACATGTGGCCTTCTAGGTCCTCAGGTGTGGCCTTTCGACTGAGTCCAAGTTTTACAGAACAAATCCTTTTATTCTATGAAGTTTGGACTCAGTCAAAAAGCCGCGTCTGAGGACCTAGAAGGTCACATGTGGCCTCAAGGCCACAGTTTCTCCACTCCTGACCTGATACCCATATTGTCCACCACATAGCTTGGTGGTAAGGGATCTAGTTACCAACGTTAAAGGGAAACCCTGTAACTAAGTTTTATCTTGAAGACTTTCCTGGATTAATCCAGGAGGGGACAAAAAGCCAAAGGAAGAGAGATTTGCCGCCTTTGGAGTCAAGCCCCCTGGAATCAATGTGAACCCAGAATGCTTTAGAAGCCCTGAATTATTTTTGTTTATTCGATTTATTTTTTTAAATAATTTTTATATTGATTATTATTTACACTATGTATTATTATTATATTTGGTTATTTTTGTACAATGCTTCACATTTTGCAAAACATTTTCACATACTTAATTTACGTGTCACAGGATTATAATTAGAGCCAGAAAGGACTTCAGAGACCATCTAACAACCCCCCTCATTTTACAGATAAAGAAACTGTGGTGCAGAAAGGTAAAGCCCCTTACCTGGGATCATACAGCTATGGGGTCAGAGGCAGGATTTGAACCTCAGACTTCTCGACTCCTATTCCAACGCTCTATCCACTACGGCTATCTCTTTCACAGATCAGGAAACTCAAGGTCAACCATCCTTGGTTCTTCCCTTTTCCTTACCACCGCCAGTACACAATCTGTTGTCAAGTGTTATTTCTTCTACCTGTATGGTATTTCATTTACCAGTCCCCTTATCTTCACTTACACAGCCACCACTTGTGTTCAGGGTTTATCCTTTCTCACCTGGGCCCCTGCAATACCCTCCTAAATTGCCTTCCTGCTCCCAGTCTCTCTCTTGTCCAGCCCATCCTCCAAACATATGCCTAAATGCTATTCCTAAGGCACAGGTGGAGACACATCACTCCACTGCTCAAAAGCTTTTGGTGATTCCCTATTGCTTCCAGAGGAAAAATTACAAAATCCACAGCCCAGCACTTACAACCCCCTGAAAACTGGTTCCTATCTATCTTTGAAGGCCTTATTTCATACCACTCCTCTTTACCGACCTCACATTCCAGCCAAACTAGACTACTGCGTGCCTCCTGAGTACCTCCATGTATTTGCCTGGTCATCCATTGCATGGGATGTATTCTCTTTCTACCGCATCATAGATTTAGGGTTGGAAGGGGCCTTGTCTTTATCATTCAATCATTTCAGTTGTATCTGACTCTTTGTGACCCTATTTTGGGAGTTTTCTTTGCAAAGATACTGGCATGGTTTGCCATTTCCTTCTCCAGCTCATTTTACAGATGAAGAAACAGGCAAACAAGGTTAACTGACTTGCCCAAGGTCACACAGTTAGTTATCTGAAGCCATATTTGAACTCAGGAAGATCAGTCTTCCTAACTGCAGGCCCAGAACTCTGCACTATGGTGCAGGATCCAAAGAAGGATTCAAGCCCAAGTATTCTGGCTTCAAGCCCCGCCAAAATTTTTTTAAATTAATTTTTGTTAACATTGGGTGATTTGACCAGGATTATTTACCTACTAAGTGGCAGAGCCAAAATCAGAGTTCCAATCTTTGAACACCCTAGTTCAGGGCACCCTTTCAAATAGACCATAATGAGAAATACTGGGGGCAGCTAGGTGGCATAGTGGACAGAGCTCCGGCCTCAGAGTTAGGAGGACCCGAGTTCAAATCCAACCTCAGACACTTGATACTTACTAGCTGTGTGACCCTGGGCAAGTCACTTAAGCCTGATTGCCTTACCAAAAAGAAAAAAAAAGAAAAAGAAAGAAAGAAATACAGAGACACGGAGGAGGACAATAATACTGCTGAGCTCCTCAGGCCCAAGTTTGCTATCTGATAGCCTACTCTTAAAAACTATAGAAAATGTAAAATACAGCGTTGCAAACCACATCCTGACCAAGTTATTTGAACCATCAATAAGAACCTCCATGTGAACTGATCCAAGCATGGTGGGGAGAACAATTTGGAACTCCGCCCAAAGGGCTATAAAGGGGAGAAATCAGCAGATAGGTTTTCATTGCATGTAACAAAGAAGTAGAAATCTTAATGGCCCCAGTTTCCTATACTGTAACACAAAATACTTGCTGATGCAAATTTACCCTTTGAATGGTTAAGAAAAATTAAAAAAGACCAACAGAACAGTAGGTTTTTCCTGCCCAGCAGCTCAGTCACATCCAGCCATATTCAAGGATTCTATCCATCAGCAATCTTTTCCCTTCTGAAGATTGTTGTTGTTGTTTTTTTTAAGGCAGTTGGGGTTAAGTGACTTGCCCAGGGTCACACAGCTAGTAAGTGTCAAGTGTTTGGTCTGAGGCTGGATTTGAACTCAGGTCCTCCTGACTTCAGGGCCGGTGCTCTATCCACTGCGCCACCTAGCTGCCCCAATCATTTTTTTTAAAAAGTAATAATCATGGTGCCAAACCTTTAGTTTCAACAGATGCAAAATTTTTTTTGTTCTTTTGCAGAAGACAAAAAGTTTGAGGAATTTTCATTCTAATTTCTCCTAGTTTGAATCACGTATCAGAAATTACTATGCTCATGTCACAAAAGAGAAAATTGAGGTACAGAAAAAGAAAATGACAAAAAATGAAGTGACTAGTATAAGGCTGAATCCCAGGTGACCTGCTAACCCCTTAATTTGGAGATGTAAATACCAATTAAGCAATCTCTCTCAGCCAGATACTAGTTTGTTTCAAAATTGTCAATGGGGTATAGAATTATATTTGGATAACTATCAGAGGGTGATGTGAGGCACAGTTTGGAGATATATATGCATATATATAGGAAATATGATCTAGGAGGCAAGCCCCACACTCTTCAAATGATAAAGGAGGAGGGTTACTATCTCAAATATGTATATATTTGAATATACATACATATATTTGAACATATAGACATATATTTGAATATATATGTCTATATGTACATATAGACATATACATTTGAATATGTCTCTATATATACATATATATGTATCACCTAAATCACCTAGTTAGCATATTTGTATATATATACATATTTGAGATAGTAACCCTCCTCCTTTATCATTTGAAAAATGTGGGAGTTGCCCCTTAGATCATATTTCCTCCTCCCACCAGAAGCAGGGTCCGTGGGGGTTAATATTCCCTTGGTCCATGTCTCTACTCTGCCTTTCAACTCTAAGGCCAAAAACTTG